TGTCCAGTTTGCTATTTAATCGTCTGATGCTATCCTTGATGAACGCTGCTTCCATCCTCTTTACTACGCTGGGTGAAGTGGGTGTCCGTACGTTAATCCTATGGCTTATAGGTATAACCTTATATTTTTGGCATTTCTTCAGAAATGATACATCCTTATGAAGCGATGCGATGGTTTTCTTCAATCCGATTAATTTGTTTGATTCTCCCGGAAAGTCACTAAAATTTGAATAGTTCGAAAACAGATTATGCGGTCAGCATTCAAATTACTAATCCATCCAAATATTTCTTAGGTTTGTACCTGTATATATTTCAAGGGTGGAAATTACAAATGCCAATAAACTGAATCGACCAAGGCCAATTTTAGAAAGTGAGAAATGTGGAATTGTTTAAGAAATGTATATTTTTTTTTCGAGATTCTGAACACAAATCATTACAAATCCTGTGATATTATTTGCCGGGAACTGCTCAATTTCCCGATTTCCTGGTTGACTGATCTGCCTGAATTTGAAAATATAGTTGGCAATATTATTCAAAGGATTTTTGTTTAATTTTTTTATGAATCTTTTTAAATCATTCCAGAATTTACGCAGAGTTTTTTTCATAGTGGTATAGAATAGGGATTTTCAGCCTTTCTTATACGATGGGCACTTTTCAATTTATTAATTATTTGGAGGACTATTGCAGGCTTGTGTAAAAGAGACAGAATTTTGAAATAGATTTTTTTTTATTCAAATGGTTTTATTTGGAAGGCTCAATCGCGTTAGCTTTACAGAGTCGACAATTCTTTGTAATTCAAATAGTTCTTATTTTTATTTTATTGCTTATACACAGTCTTGAAGGTGGTATCACAGATATTCGTAGAAAAATTACAGGAAAACTGTGAAAAATTTCCGAACGTTCAGCTATTGAGATTTCGGTAAAATCTCACAGATTTCGGTAAAATAATCTTAGTGTGCAGCAAGCATAATGTCCACACTTGCGGCAGGTACGAAGTATCACGTTCAATGTGCAGAGTACATCGGAGTTAGAAAGGTAACACGCGCGTTCAATGAGCGTGCACTGAAGAAATTGAAACTCAAGCTCAACGCCGTCTATGTTTCGTGAAGACTGCTTATACACCCAAGTAACAATTTCGGTTTTATAAGGGTTCTGTAGACCATGATTTAGACTTGTAGCATGCTTAAAAACCTCCATAAAACTTTCAATGTTACTTGGGATATATATGGGGCCTCCCTTAGCTGAGTCGGAAAAGGTACAGCTACAAAGCAAGACCATGCTGAAGGTGGCTGGATCGATTCCCAGTCCGGTCTAGGATTTTTTTTTTGTACTAAATGCAAAAATGGTACAGGCATTGAAAGCTCTCAATTAATAACTGTAGAAGTGCATCTAGTAGAACACTCAGTTGAGAACACGTAACACGCTTGAAATACGCGTACTAAGCTTGAAATGCGAAGAAGAAGAAGAAGAATATATATATTCGAGATTCCAAAAATTCTTCAAGATTGTGGGGAGTTTATAATTTGTAAAGTTTCAGAGTTGCGAAAAAGTTCTTAGACTTAAATAAACATGACAAAAGAAAATTTCTAAATTTGTTGGATTTCGAATTTTTTGATACTGGAAGCTGGAAAATTCAAAACTTTAGCTCTTCAATTAAATAATCTGGAAAATATTAATGAAAGTGATTCCGAGAAAACTTTATGTCAGACCTAACATAATATCAAGCTTGTAGAATCGATTGGGTACCACGAATGGGAAATTTCAGTGTTGATATTCTGGATCTTAAAAAGATTTATAATATGGGTCATTCCTGCTCAAGTGGGTACAGAATTCAAAAAATGTGTGGTCGATGTCACCGATTTGAGCCAAACTTGGCCAAAACGCTTATTTTGGCATTCAGAACAAACGCCTTTTTTGATTTTACTCTAAAGTGCCTAGATCCTTCTGGGCTAAAACCCTGGATTTTCGAGATTTTTAAAAAATTCGACTTTCAGAAGAGACTACTCCACAACCAAATAAGCTATTCGTGAAGAACGTCAATTTAAAGGTTTTTAAATGTAGATTTACATAGATGTACTCACATTTTGTTTTTGCTATAGTAACTATAGTAACAGACTGATTATCGACAGGTATGAAAATTGTCAAAAAATCCCGCCCCCATGGTGAAAATAGGCCATTTTTTGACAATTTTGATACCTGCCGGGAATCAGTCTGTTTACTATAGTTACTATAACAAAAACAAAATGTGAGTACACCTATATGAATTTACATAAAAAAAACCTTGAAATTGACGTTCTAAGATCACGAATAGCTTATTTGGTTGTGGTTGATTTTTTTTAAATCTCGAATATCCAGGGTTGTAGCCGAGATGGATATAGGCACGTCAGAGCAAAATCAAAAAAGGCGTTTCTTCAAAATGCCAAAATAAGTGTTTTGGCCAAGTTTGGCTCAAATCGGTGACATCGACCACATGTGGTGAACCCACTCGAGCTGGAATGACCCATATATATTTTCTTGGTAAAAAAAAATGTAAATTTGGATTTAAATAAAGAGAAATTAGTAAACCTCAAAGCATAAACTTTTTTCAAGATGTTTGGACATTTTGGATTTTGAAATAAAGAAACTCCACTTAGAAATATTTGCACTGTCTAGGACAAAAAACAATTTTCAAAATTAAAGGGCTTAGTATCTAGTTTTTTAAAGCTCAAAGGCTTCGAAAAATTATATAGATCCATAGATTTTAAAGATCCATAGAAAATTTACTTTTTATTTTTACACTACAAAAAAAAATACAGAGAAAACCGGCTCCAAAAATAGTACTGCTATGGCTAAAAATAAAATTTAAATTTTTAGGGTATGAAAAATTGAATCTGCTATTGGATGCACATTTAATTTCACTTTACCATACAGCAAGTTTAAGAGCAGCACCACGAATAAATGTTAAAGGCTTGTTGATTAGCCTATAAACCGCTGCCCTAGGTAAAAATTATGGCATTCTTTTCAAATTTGGCAAAATATTTTTTAAAGAAATTCACTGCAAATCAAAACTCTTTGAATTTATGCTTATATTATGCCAATGTTCTAACTAATTCTTACAAAACATGAATTCAGTTTGCCTCCCTAATTTTGAAAACTCTAAACATTTTATAGAATATACCTTAATCCTCTGAATCACCTTGAAATACTCTTTAGAAATTCTCTTGAAATTCACTCCGGGACTGCGTTTCAAGTTTGCTATGCGTTTCTGAACTTAGTCCAGAATTTTAGTAGACTCAATATTTCTTAAGTATAGCTTCATTTTTTTTTTAAATTCTTCTCATGTCACAGGATCTAAGAAATTTCTGGAAATCCTGCTCTCATGATTGAACACACTTTAAAATGTTTTCAAACTATTTCTCTAATTCTTCGCAGAGATCTCTGGGAATGCTTTGAGAGGTTTTCTTAAATTGCCATTCGGAAATTCTTTAAAAACCCCATATTATTGGATTGTCCTGGAATTATTCCCATTTTTATTAATCATTCTTGGAAGTCCATAAATAGTCTGCTCAGGATTGTTTTGGGATAATCTTTAGGATTTTCTTAGATTTTTCTTTAATTGTGATTTTATCTTACACCCAAATATTTTCAGCTGCTTATGGCAGTAAACTTCTTCAAGCAGTTGTGTACTTATTCTTTAAGTAATTTTCTGCTGCTACTACTGCCGAGGACAAGAATATAGACAAATTAAAGGAATTTGAGCATTGTATTACGCATTGCATAGCATTAATTAGCTTCAAACTATCATCAAATTCTCTTTCATGTTTCTGCAACTGAAGCAAATTTTGTGGTTCGGAGACCTTGAAAAAAAAAAATGTATGAGACATAGCATGAACATTGCTTAAGATTCTTCAACTAATAAAACAAATATATTTTTATAATTTTGTTGCTGAGGTAGAGGGGGCACTGTGTGGAAGGGGGCTACACCTGACTTATCTTTTGGTAATGTCTTTATAGTGGCTGCTGTGATAATGATTGTAATAGGGGTTTTTCTTGATCACTGGGAATACTTGAGGGACGTTTTATCAGTAAATGAAACCGGTTCGTCTTTTATTGTTGTTGCAATCTTATAGATAAATCGTCTAGCTCAAACCTTTGTTAGGGGTAAGTGTCGGGACCATAATTGTCATGATCATTTCCAGCTGGTATTCCTTTTTAAGAAGGTGACGGGTTTCCCTAATAAAAAATACCATATCCGAACGATAACCCAAAATGACAGAACTATTCCGCAAATGGTTTGGATGAACACGTCGTTAAGCGAAATAACCATACACATTGTATTAGGGTAAACATCAAACAACCAAGTTCAAACATAATGAGTTTATCACATCTGGTTACAGTCAGTATAAATGTCGTTTCCTAATAAATGTATCAATATTTAATCATAAAATTTACAACCCAAGCAACAACTCAACAATCCATTCCCACGCAGTTACTTGCCTAAATATTTGCCACACACCAGTCAAATAATCGCTAATGGGTTTTCGCTACCAAACGGCTCGATTTAAATCGCCATGGAAAAACACCTGGTCGGAATACCGGCCGCAACCCGACGTTCAAAAGCGATGATTTCATCGCGCTGTGACGAATCGTTCACATCAACGACCTGGGCGCACGATCCCTTTCACTCACTTCAAGCCGAAGTCGAATGCCGAAACCAATTTGCAACAAACGAGGCACGTTCGTGACCTACCCGTCAATTGACCTTGGAAGCCGCCCCATGTCAGCGGGTGGACTTAATCGTTACCTAAATATGTGTGTTTTTCGATGTTGGGAATGGATTTTCGCGAACCAGAATAAGAACTGACAGGTTTCAAGTTTCATTGACTGATGTATTTCAGCAAAAAAAAAATAAATAGTTGCAGTGTTCAATTTTTACAGGTCGGCGAGGTGAACTCGCCTGGGGTTCAAAACGAAAATGAAATCATAAACGGCGTTGTGTGTGTGTGTTTGTATGTGTGCGTGTTGTACTTCTTGACAGTCTTGATCGTTTAGTGATGGTAGGCGTATGCTGGGGCAGCATAGGCTACGGCAGGCTGGGACACGATGGTCTTGGTCACAGCCGGGGCAGAGACAATGGTCTTGGCAATTGGGGCGGCATAAGCGACTGGAGCAGCGGCATAAGCGACCTTGGCGACGGGGGCAGCAGCGACGGTCTTGACCAGTGGTTCACGGTGGACGACGGCGTTGAATCCGTTGTGTGGGTCGGCGGTGTACTCGACAGTGCGCTTGAAGCCATCAGCATCAACCAGAGAGTAGGATCCCTGGACGACATCTCCGTTGCGCGATTCCTGTTGGGACTTGGAGTCTCCGGTCAGGGCATCGGAGATTCCGTACGAGTAAGAGTACTGTGGGTTCGGGTCGTACTCATCGGCAACAATGGTCTTGGCAAGTGGGGCAGCGACGAGGGTCTTGGTCACTGGAGCAGAAACGATGGTCTTGGTAACTGGGGCGGCGTAGGTGACGTGGGCAGCCGGGGCAGCATAGGCTACATGGGCAGCCGGGGCATGGGCGTAGGCCACTTGAGCTGGGGCAGCATAAGCCAAAGTCTTGGCCACTGGAGCATGGGCGTAAGCCACAGCAGCTGGAGCGATGACTCCAGCGCGGGCAACGGCCACCAGGGCGCAGAAGGTCAGGAACTGTAAAATACGAGAACAATCCCATTGTAATGCTTCACTTCACAAGAACAGAACTCCACAACTTAAAACACCAAGTATCACTAGAAGAGATCCACTCCGCGGCCGGCCAGGACACTCAAACGTACCTTGAAAGCCATGTTTGGTTGATCGGAAGAAGTAGTTGTTCACAGCACTAAACAATCGATTGAACTGTGCCGTAATCAGACTGCAGTGGCCAATTTATACTTGCCTCTCAAACCGAGACACTTCAGCACGGAGTGCGGCTACGATGGCAGCGGGGCGGCATTCTCGCAAAAATGCCTCCCCTGTTGCAATAAGTTCACCTGAACCAACAACAACAGCAACGACTTTCGGCTTTGGGTTGGTCGGATCATAAGAGTATTATTCATTGTCCACGACACGCTGGGAGCCAAAAATGCGGCACCACCTCCAGCATCCTTCGCCATGTCCCCTCCAACAGCACTCCGGGGAGGCGTCTTCTAGCTCTTCTTCTTGTTCGTCGTCTTCTGCTGTGTCTTTAGCAACCCTAGAGCCTCACGGTGGTTGGGGTAGTATACTGCCGCTATTCGCATAACAGGCCCATGCCCTGCAGATTTCCTATCTACATGAGACTGTCATGCGAATAGCGGCAGTATGGTACTATTAAAAAGTACACTATGAACACGATCTTACCCGGTACTAAGAAAAAGGTGGACGCATTTTTGTTTCGCTCTTCGCCTCGATATGTCTCTTTTTTTCGACTGCGGTTGTTCGTGGTGCTGTCCGTTGCCGCCGGTGGTTTTGCTTGGCGCGGAAACGGTTTTGCGACGTGTGCTTTGAGGGGAGATGGAAGGATTTTTTTTATGATCGTTCAGGTTCATTTAGTACGGGGTCAGAATGAGACACCACCGTTGGAGTTGATTCATTATAAAAAGTAGATTTAATGCGATCTAAATTTGGCCGTTGAAATAGTATTCTGGTAAGGCACGTCTGAACTTAATTTCGGAGCTCTAGATCTGGTTAGCATGTTTGGTTAAATTTTATTGATTTGTTAGCAACAAATTCATCACGCCTAACAGAAGTCAATAATTCAGTCATTTGCTCAACCATCCAATCGCAGTTTAAATCTTCAACCTTAGAGCTCATATTTCTTCGCATTCAGAAGGTGATCAGGACCGAAAATTTACGCCGTTGATTGATTATTTATGGTGGCACCCAGTAGGCAACTCGCGCTACTCATAATGATCTTTCGCTAGATTTCGATTTGCGATCATCGATGCGGTATGCCTGCTGTGTTTTGACTTCTGCTGAGCATCGCTCATAGGTGGGTACAGGGGCTGCACGGAATAGCAGTGGAGTGGCCAGGGGGCTTAACTTACTTTAGATTGATCTTAGACTAATAGAAGTCGTGGGAATCAATTTAAAAAAAGCAGCTCTTAAGTGATCAACATTACAAAAACTGACTGACGGTGTCACTATGAGATTCTTTGGCCCCCTTCTGCGCACGCTAGTGGGGATAATTGTCCGCCATATGGCGTACTTTATAGATGGTAAACAGATTAACTGACTATACTAAAATTTTTGAGAAGTACAACGATTCACAGTGAAACATGGACAAAAAATATTGTCATACTCAAAAGCATTGACAATCATGGTCCGTACCGTGGGTAGATTACCTTTTCGCGGTACGTTACGGGATTTAAAATCTACCCCCGATTACTAGCACTGACTACATCAAACTAGGGGAAAATTATTTTTCAGTAATCCAAGGAACACATCTTAGTCCTTGTTACTTTTTGTGCCTTGTTGATAGTGACAAGAGTCGGCTTTGTCCACCGAGGATGATCTTGAAACAAGGAAAAAGTGAGTTAGTTAGTCTTCATCTATGTGATTCCTAATCTTCTATTGGTTGTTCCCTAGTTTGAAGTGCTTAAGACTAGGGTTCTGATGCATGGTCATTATCGGTGTCATTCCTTAATTTTGTTGCTAAGGAATCCAATTTTGACTGACAAAGGGGCGCGCCTTTGAAGGGTGTTTCAACACTCCGAAGGGTATAAATAGCGGGACCGTTCAATTAGAGTCGGATTCTTGCGATAAATCCGAGAATAAACAATCAAATACTGCATCATTTCTCACTAGTGATGGAGTAATACGACATGCACTAAACTAAAGAGACGACATATACTACAATAGACCAAATTACTGGTCGCAGTGGTGTTAAGTCGTGAACAGAGGAAAAAATTTGACAATCATATGGTATATATTTTTTCCTTCAATTGTTTTCCGTCGATCTTGTTTTCCATGCTGAGCACCAATGATACCGACGCCAGGGAGGCATCTCCCACACCTGGACCCTACCTATCGACTCATCAACTTGTAACGCTTAGCTTTTACTCAAGAACTCCGATTTGAGCGTTACATTGTCTTAGTCCCTGCCGTTGAACTTTGGTTTAACCTATGTTAGCCTACAAACGACTTAAGCGCCACTCTGATTTGGAGGTCGTTTCAGGAATGTTTGGTTCAGGGATGCCCGACCTGAAACTCTGATTCTCAAGGCGAGTTATTGTAGTTACCAAACCGAATTCTACGACGTACGGAAATCTTGAGTTCAGTTCAAATTCAATTAGTGGACCTAGTCAAACACGACGAAAATTAAAAATTTAACCGACTTACTTGAGTTACCCTTAGTGGAAAGTAAAAACAAAACCTTTCATGGTAAAGAAAATATTTAATACGATCGATAAAGAGAATTAAGTCCTAGCGAATTTCAGCTGAAAAGAGTTAGATCTATTTATCTTCGAGCTTATAATCTTTTCAGGGTGAACAATTCTTACCCTATAACAGGTGTGCACTAACCTGTGTGGTAACGTTACCTTTCTTATTGCGACCGTCGAGTACCTGCATGTAACGATGTTCCCGTTGTACCGCTTCCCGAGGCTTGAACCTTAAACGTGTTCGAAGCTCGACAGCGTAACGCTTTAGCGAGGATGGATGGTGGGTGTCTCAACTAGCTTCGAATTTACTCTGCTTAAGTGACTTATTCGAGGTAGGAAATTCCCGGGGGGGGGGGGGGTCTAGGAAGTGGGTGATAAGCGAATTCCAGGAGTAGAGTTGTCTCCGGTCGAGCGTGGAATGTTCGTCTTCCACCGTACACGGAAAGATCTTCTCATGTCGACTCGTTCAACAAGAGTCTGTTGAAGAAGGTCCCACTTTTCCTAACACCGACGTCGGACCAGACGCCGACACCAACACCCACGTTAATGAGTTTCCTATTAACGTGAAAATATGTTGCCTTAACGTACTGACGATTTTTTTACAATGTGAATTCTTACCTGTGCTTTTCACAAGGTTTAGTTTACGGTTTGCCCCTTTCGGCGAGTATTACTAAACTAACTTTAGTGTACTGGAAAATTTAAATTAGAATTCAACAGGTTACAATGAACATTAAAAGTGCTAATTTCATGACATTACATAGTTATTGTGTGGGGTGTAGCAATGGGCGATCTTGAATTGAAACACAAAAGATCGATTATTTTGTTTCGATTGATCGATTTTTTTAAATCGATCTTAAACACGACAAACATCGAATGGATCGATCCTTTTCATTCGATTTTTGATTGATTGATTTATCTTTATTAGGGAGGCTTTCAGCCTGGGGCTGGTTCGCCTCCATATTCAATTTTTGTTTCGATCCAATTTTTTTTTTCGTTTTTGCAATTTTATATTGATTTTTTTTTTGTCTTCAGCTTTACACATCACTTGCCTTGAACATGGATTCTGCAAACAACCAGTCTGACTGTTCAGTAGAAACGTTCACTTCACATGATATATTTCAGGTTCATCAGTCCTCTGCTATGTCAGAACTGGATCGCCATGGGGTCATCACCGACAAACCGACATGAATGACCATAGCAAAACAATAACATTTCTATCCAAAGCACACTACTGACTTCTGGCTCCGTGTTCGCGGGAAATATTTAGCTAAGCCATGAATCCGCGTGTAAATGTTATGAATTGGTTCGTGTCTGATCTATGCTGGACAAATAATTTTTATCTAGATCAAAAAATCCAATGGTTTTGACAGTTCGGATCACTGCACATTTAAATCAGCCATTTTGGGGCATAAGTCAAAATTAAGAGTTATGCCGGTTTGTCGGTGGGGGCATATCGGCAAAATTACAAAATGTCTTGCATCAGCCTGTTTTCCCACGGTCTGTCGATCCTTTTCAAGCAGAGGAGAAAATCCGTTTATCCCCACATATACCCAATACTCGAGACTATTTATCAAGAATGATAACAAGTGTTCCATCAGAGAGGCCACAAAGAATCGATATCGGCTCAATGCAAAAGGCATGGCTCAATTAACTTTCTTGGGATCCCTCTCCGATGAGTTTTGGGATATCTGAATTGAGTACTTTTCGTACCTACCTGCTCTTATACTCCAACAATCTAATCCTTTTGTTTCATATCTTAATCTTTCGTTCTTGAATCGTTCATTTAATACCAATAAAACAAATATTATAACCTGTTAAGTCACTCACCTAATCCTGAGTAAAAACTTCCATATGTCAAATGGAATCCAAGTAGTCATTTATTATATTCTCATCATGTATGCATGTTACACTCACAACTTTTACTGCGTAGGTACTACACAATTTATTTCTAAATTATATCAATCTTCACAGTAAATGGCTATTATAAGTGAATTGTCAAGATAGCTCATGTAACTTAATATCTATATAATATAGCTCAGACTGATCTTGGCGTTAATCTGCACCAACTTTCCTATGATCCGTTATATTTGAAACATGGTTGTGCCATTTTGAAAAATGAGTCGATTAAAAAGATCGATTTAAAAAGATCGATTCACAATGATTGATTAAATCGGTGAATCGATTATTTAAAAAAAATCGGTACACTCAAGATCGCCCAATTCTAGGGGTGTACTTAAGTTATTTTCTACTGCTTCCACTGCTCCGCAAGTTTCACAGAAATCATATTCTTGCAAATATTTAGTGCATCTTGTGATTCTCTATAGATTTTAGCAATTTCCAGATCATGATAATACATTTGTGTAAAATTCTTCTAAAATTGAAATTCTTTAAAAAATAAAATTGACTATTTCGAAGCGATCAACGTTTGCTGATGATACAAATATTTGTCAGGTGAAAAATCCAAGCGTGTAAACATTCTAGAGATGTATTATGTATTTAGCGTATTCTATCATGAGGCATTTGAACAATAAAACTAAAATAATGGGGTTGCT